AGGTACACGGTGTCAAATTGTCCCACTGCTGATAATAGACTTGGATCATTTGCCTGAGGTGATGTCAGCCAGGTTTCTCCACTATGAAGTTTCTATTTGTCTCCTTCTGTAATCAATAAGAATCTTGAAGGGAGATAATCTGAGACTATGTACATATCCTGTTATTCAGCAAACCTACACCCACTGGTTTTAGCTCCCATTGATGTTTCTTTCTCTTTCCCCATTTATTTGTCTATATCAGAACGGGCTCACGGATTCTGATTCTATCCCACGGGTTATGTAATTCATTACTGTAATTATTTCGATACTTAAAATTATCTCAGATCCGACCTTCAAGCTGGCTTCTGTGTCCTTTTCACACGTTCTCTTGCATTTTTCAGTATTTCTTCCTTTCTGGGCACCCCACGTGTTCTGCTCGCTTTGTGCTTTCTCTGCCCGGCCCTAGCACCGGCGTCTCCCGAGGGTCGCGGGTCCCTGTAGCGGGGAGGGCACCGGGCACTGATTCTCCTTGTTTCTGGGAGCCGGTTCTGTCTGAGTTGGCTGCTCCTGGGAGGAGCTGTCCTTTCACTCTCAGCGCGTCATCCTTCCTGCCGCGCCTTTCCCAGCCCCGGTTTTGCCTGTGCCACTTGGCGCCTCCGCCCGAGCCCGGGACTGTCTCCCCACAGACGAAGGCCGGTGGCCGCGGGCAAGTGCAGTGGGATTATCGCGTACACACTCTCACGTACTCGCATCAAAATTGTTTTCTAAACAAGTAGAAGCAAAATTTAGACAGAACAGGTATCTGCACCTTAAGATGAAAAGTTTCCATCAAATTGGCCAAACTAGAAATGTAGAAATTCTTTAGCAGACGTGAGCTACAAATGCACTTCTTGGCCTTTTTTTCCCCTTCTTTTATGACTTTCCATTTTAAAGTCTCAGCTGCATTGTACATTTTTGCCTTTTTTTTGTTTTCTAAGTACTATTTACCATTTGCTGAGAACATAAGATCAAGGTTCTGTTCTAGCCTCCTCTTGCTCCAGCGATTCATGGACTGTGCTCCATGGAACGAGTGCCACAGGTGGCTAAGAGGAGCTTCCTGAGAGTGAGACCGATGGGATTTCACGGTCAAATACACGCAGGGAGAGCTAGGGTGCAGCACGGCAAGCAGATGTTTGGGCTGTAAGACTTCTCAGAGCTTTTTAATACGTGTTGTGACTTCCCAGTAGAATGACGATACCCAGCACTCCCCAAGCCTCCTTGATCACCGAATACTTCTTGGGGAGCACTCGCGGCCCAGTGTCCTGCTGCTCCTCCCCCAGTGGCCAGCACATCGATTCTATTTCCTACGTAGCTCTAGAATTCACCCACCTCTCCCCAAGCTCACAACCAGGATCCCATTCAAGCCACCACCTCTCTCACTCATTGAGACCTTAATTGGTCCACTGTGTGTCAGCCGAAGTCCCAGCAGGAGACAGGTGGCACGCTCCAACGGAGTGATATGAGGAGAAGCTGACAGAGAGGCAGGACAGGGTTTAGGGACACTGCAGAGCCCGCTGGGACTAGTTACCGCAGGAATCATTAGCTCCAGGCCAGCAGGGACGGGGAGGAGCTGCTTGCGGCACTGGGAGGTGACTATCTGCAGGAGCTGCCAGACAGGCGCCCGGCCTTCCGTGGAGAGAGGAGCCAGTTCACAGCGAGCTGGCAGGATCAGCCCTGACTTCACCTTCTCCCAGACATCCAGTCTCCCGCGGGGCCCCCATGGGCCGCACCAACCGGAAGCTGGAGACAGAGCTGCAGTCCCTGTGGCCGGCTCTCCCAGGGCACCGGGCGGGGGTGGAGACTGAGTCTGGAGGGACAAAGAGAAGATACGCAGCACGGCCTGTCTTGAATTTAGTCTCCCCGCCCACATCCATCCTCCACGTCTCCAAAGCCCACGTCTCTCCTTGCTCTTCTTCAAGTCCATCAATGTCCCCACCCCACCCCAGTCATCCTTGGAATAGAGCCGGCAGTTCAGTACCAGCTCTAGTATGAGCTGCTAGCGTCTCCTCCCAACTCTACGTTCAGTGACAGGTGACAGCAAGCCGTGGGGAAGTATTTATACCACAGGAATTGGCAAATGCTGCTAATCAGGGCATTCCTTTCTTTCACTGAGCTGCGTATCTTAAGATAAAAATATTCTATATAACCTTTTTTTTGGTGGCAACTTGGGAAGTGTTTTTCTCCATTAAACAATTTCCAACTGAGAAAGCCTGGAGGCAACGGCTGGCCTAGCGGTGAGGCGCGCCCAGCGCCCAGACCGCAGTCTCCAAATGCCTCGCCCCGCCTCGGGCACCAGGGCTCCCTGGAGAAGTGGCTGCTTCCAGGTCTGCGGTGAGAAATGTAGCAAGATGAGGCCAGAACATCGTGTACCAGCGAGCGAAGGGACAATCAGAGACAACTTGGGGCCATGTCACAAGGACCCCACAGTTGCCATGAAGGTATTTCTATCGGCCAAAGAGAGGACAGTTTGAGCATTGACACACATACATATGCATGTAGGTAGGTATGTGTGTTGGATCGAAAGACATCACACATATTAAAAGTCCAGGAGTCATGCCTCTTAAAAAACCGAACCTCACTGGTCACCTTCAGAAGGTGCTGGGAACCAGCTCTTCCTGACAACCGCTAAATACAGCTGGAAAATGAATCATTCATCATCGTTTCCAATACTAATGCTCTACAAAGCAACAAAATAGTTGATGAGAGGAAATTATTTTTAGAAGACTTCTGTTAAATGAAGAAGGCGTGATATCACCATTTTGCAACCCCTAGTGAAAGATCTAGGCCGCCAGCATCAGTGGCTGCCGGGTCCAGGTGGTCTGCGACGAAAAGCTGCTGGGAAACCGTGACGACCGGGTTAAGCTGCAACATCTGAATCAACAGTCAGTCTTCACAGCTTAAAAATATTAATATGAGCCCCCCGATGGGATGTAATAGGAATTCTGAAATATTCTAAGCCGACGGTTTAGAACTGAGTCTGATCCACAAGGATGAGATGAGAAACCCAGCGTGTGATTCCACAGGATCAAAATCAAATAAATTGCAAGGTAGAAAAGAATTCATGGATTTTAGAGACTTACCAACTAAATGTAACGGATGCATCTTGCTAGGCACCTGATGCAAATGTATGAACTGTTTAAACTATTGTAAGTAAGATGAATGGGGAAATTTAAACAATGACTGCATATTTTATATTTAAAAATTATTAATATTTAGGTGTGATAATGGTATGGGGCTTTTTTTTTTAAAAGTCCTTATCTGTAAGAGTGGAGTCTCAGCAAGGCACTGGGAGCGTCAGGGGCTGGCTACTTCCTGCTATGGCAGCTGTCACGCTGTGTGGCCAGATGCTACCGGCATCCCGGGCTCCGCCCACCGGGTGCCCTGAGCACCCTGTTTCCTGGGGCCAAACAAAAGTATCTCCAAACATCAAACATCACCAAATGTCTCCTGGGGAGAATCGCTCCCCGTTGAGAAAACCGTGTTGGGAGATGGTACTGAAGTGTTTATGGTTGAAAGGACACCATACCCGGGATTTGTCAAAACCACCCAGGGGGTGTGGGTGGAGTGAGAGGAGTTTGACCGTGTGTCAGTAACTGGAGAGGGACACACAGGAGTTCATCATGCTGTTCCCTCCACTTGTACGTCAAAAGTTTTCCATGATAAGTTTAAAAATTGTAGTGCCAAGTATTAAAATATTTCTATTTCCCCAAAGTATCTTAACATATTTGAATAAATGAGTCATCTTTAAGTCAAAGGGTTATGGGAGTAATTAAGTCATTTAAAAAGGCTTGGCAAAGCCCTTGTCACCTTTCCAAGTCCTGAGAAAACAGATGATCTAATGATTAGATAATAAATTATTCTCCAAATCGGGTAATTTTGTTTTTAACAAAATTGAAGGACCTAATCATGTTATAATGTATTATAAATCACTGAGGGTTTTTGGGATATTTCCTAAGAAATGGGTGACCTTCCTATAATCAAACACTTCAATTTCTCTCAGAGTTCTTACATTTATAGAAATGAAAAGTAGGAAAAGAGTTGGTCATGAGCCTTAACTCATAGCAAATTCATAACATTTTAAATCTTCACTTTAAAACACCTTCATTTGTCTCATTAAGAAATGTGTCTCACATCTTTTAGAATTCTACGTCAAGAAAATATATTCCGTTACTGTGATGAAATATGTACTAGCAATAATTGTAACGATGCAAAATGTTTTTGTGGATTAATAGCCCTATGGTCACACAAAATAAAATTTAATTTTTATTACACATGGTCAAAAATAAGACATGCTTTAAAATATTACACTAAGATAAAATTCTGTGGGGGTCTTAGACTAGAAATATGAGTTTAAAGAGAAAAAAAGTTGTAAAATTTCCAACTGGCCAAGAGTTGTGTTCATGCACCTTTAAAAGCGAATGATAGTGGGTTCCATTTGATATTTTTATGAGCCAATTTTTATCCTGAAATTCACAGTTGGCAATTACACACGTTATAACTTAAAACATAAAAATTTAGTTGTCGGACTTACAATGTGTGAAGGGTTGTGTAAGTTTTCTCAAATTCTTTTCGGGGTTACACAGGCAAAGGCGTGGCCAGCATGGCTGTGACAGCCCCAGTCCCCTTCCCCTGCTGGGACTCCAAGGCACTCACTGTGCCTGCTGGCGTCACTCCAGCTTCCCTCATCTTCCTCTGATTTCCTTACTGGATATTATTATGCCTCGATAAACGCCTAACTCCCTTGATTCTTTGCAGGACAACGTAGAGCAAAAGTTATTGAGACGTATTTCAGGTTTCAGTGACAAACCTGCCAGACGGCATCACCTCCTGTGAGAACAGACTCCAGGGGGGACTTCCTCAAGGTCCTGGCACCGGGCCAGCCGTTTCTTGCCTCCCCACTTCCTCAGAGTCCTGTGGGGTCATCCCCAGCCACTTGCACAGACCACCGTCACACCTCCAATTTTTCGTTTGGTCTATTTTAGAATTGTTCCTGTTTGTCCCCGTATTCCAGTCTCTGATTTTCTAATAGCGACGCTAGCCAGTTCACAAGCGCGACAGGATGCATAAAGACGTTTGCATTTGCAAGTAAGGCTGCCCTCTGACCTTTAGGAAGCCACTTTCCCTGTTTGCTTTTTCCAGACCCAATTTCCCCCCGTCTTGTCAATACTTCACAGGTAACTCAGGACAGAAGCCCCTGGCGGGCCACCCGGCCACATGCTCAGCACCCAGCAAGCTGTTCCACGGGCTGCCACTGTGAACTCCCAGCTAGGAGCCAATCAGAATTCAGCAGCATGTCTCCTTTCCCTCATCCCCTTGTTTGTATGTTGAAGATACTTTAAGCATGTAACATAAGGATACCTTGTAAACTAGGTCAGGTAAGGGTATTTTAAGTTTGAAAATGGTAAACTCAACATTAAAAATCGCTTTGAGATATTCAATGATTTGCTAGTGGGATCGCGTCTGCTCCTTTTAAAAGGCTGTAAAAAGAAGGGGCTGTTTTCTGTTGTAGTTTTAACTATTAAGTCTCACTGTAGTTGACATTGTTTAGCAGGAACTGCTAACAGTGAAACTGAGAAAAAGAAACACAAACATGAACAAATGACCTTTTATTTCGTACGGAGATATAAAGGCAATTGTGTGCAGCAGCAATCTGATGGGCAGTCCAAATTCTCGGGAGGAAGTAAATTCACGCTAAATGTCAGGATGGCTGCTTGAAGAGAAGGTCAAAGGAGGAGAGATGAGACAGAGACTACTACAGCTAATAAATAAAATCTGCAAGCCACGTGGTTTGAGCACCACAACTTGAGAGTTAGGGGTTCTCCACGCTTAGTAATTCTAGAGTCGTCATCAACATTCTTGAAGTGCATTTTGTGCTATTTTGCAGTGGAAGTTGCTCGTTAAGGAAACTTTAATCCTTACAAATAATTGAATCATTTTATTAAAGGAGTTATAAGCTTTGCTTATTGTCTGTCTTGGATGTGGCCTTTGGGACGGATATCCTCTTTTAAGGGTTGTCAACAGGGCTGACACACTTGGTTGGTCCCATTTTTGAGGTGATGCTAGTTGTAACAGCATATTCTTTTTTTTATTATTATTATTAAGACAGAGTCTCACTCTGTTGCCTAGGCTAGAGTGCCATGGTGTCAGCCTAGCTCACAGCAACTTCAAACTCCTGCCTCGGCTCAGTGATCCTCCTGCCTCGGCCTCCCGAGTAGCTGAGACTATAGGCATGCGCCACCATGCCCGGCTAAATTTTTTTTTTTTTTTTTTTGAGACAGAGTCTCACTTTGTTGTCCAGGCTAGAGTGAGTGCCGTGGCGTCAGCCTAGCTCACAGCAACCTCAAACTCCTGGGCTTGAGTGATCCTTCTGCCTCAGCCTCCTGAGTAGCTGGGACTACAGGCATGCGCCACCATGCCCGGCTAATTTTTTTTATATATATATCACTTGGCCAATTAATTTCTTTCTATTTATAGTAGAGATGGTTTTGAACTCCTGACCTTGAGCAATCCGCCCGCCTCGGCCTCCCAAGAGCTAGGATTACAGGCGTGAGCCACAGCGCCCGGCCCCGGCTAAATTTTTATATATATTTTAGTTGTCCAGCTAATTTCTTTCTGTGTTTTTAGTAGAGACGGGGTCTCACTCTTGCTCAGGCCAGTCTCGAACCCCTGACCTTGAGCGATCCTTCTTCCTTGACCTCCCAGAGTGCGAGGATTACTGGTGTGAGCCACCGTGCCTGGCCAGCATATTCTTTTAAGCTGGGAAAAATGTTTACTAAAAAAACGTGTCTTCCAAAACACAACTAATGACAAGGTCAGGGGCCTGGCGAGCCCTTCCCCTGCACTGCGCGCCACACCGCGGAGCTGAGTGAGCAGTCCCACAGCGACACTTCTCCGACACTTACACTTGTAACAGGGACACGCCATATACTTTGTTATGAACACAGTTTATTGGCTTTAAATATACATCAGTAAATTTTTAAATGTTTATTAAGTTTTATGATGAAAGAACACTGAACCAAAACACCAAAGGAAACAGAGGCTCAGCAGCATGATTTCAATATATTTTCCTGGATAAACAGATTTTTTTTTTAAAAGCATACATGACTTTTTATCCATGAACAAGATCTTCCTAAATTCAATGTTTAGAAATGAATTATTTTTGACTAAGCCCAGAAAAATGGGGTTCATAAAATAAAGGCACAATGTGGGTAGCAAAAGAGGAGAAAGAAACGGGGGAAAGTTTATTTTAATCTCAAGTGGAACATGGGTTGGCTGGTTTGGTTTGGTTTTGTTTTAGACTATTTAAGGCAGGACTCTCCCTCTGCAACCCTGTAGATAAACCCTAGTGTTTTAGCTATAAAAGTTTTAAGAGTTCAGATATACAGATAGACCGATTTTTAAAAAAACCTCTTTTCCTAAGAGTATTCTAAAGGCTTTTGAAGCATTATATAAATCTTTAAAATTCCTATTACCCAACATTTTAAGAAATAAATCTATGCTTGAATAAGGCACGAAAGATACAAAACAGTTTAAAAAATTACAGTCGATGCTAGGGCTAGCCCGCTCCTCTGCTCTGGGGACCAGCGGCCCATCTCCGGGAACTGAGTCAATCTGCGCGCACCGGTATCAATGGGCAGGTGCCGCAAGAGCTGAATTTTATCACTGAGCTTCCCTCATCCACTGGTGAGGGAGTGACACAATGGAACTGCCTAAATTTGACAGTGAAATTTAAAAACAGTATTTCCTTTTTTTTCTAGAAATGCTTCCTTTGAACATGGAACAGTGACTTCCGTTAGCTCCTGCCCATAAAGGAAAACAGAATGGAAGAGAACCAATGATCCCCTGCATACTTCAATTTTACTGATGGGACAGAAATTTAAAGGAACTTTGCTTCTAAATGACAGCCTAATAACCGTTGATGACTTGACATTTTAGTTGTGTATCTTCTATGTATGCATGTTACTGGTGCTAGTAGTTCCACTTCTGAATCACAAGAATTCAAGTCCTCCTACCCCACTGCTAAGTAAAACAGACAGTAAAGCTTACGATACAGCAATGCCACCTCTGAGACTGTAACAGCAGAGAGATTTTAGTGGAGTTCCACACTTCCCTAAGTGATAGAAGAAAATGAAGGATCCAGAAAGGTCAGACTAAGCCTGAAACGAAATTTCACTATGAAAAAGGGACAACAAGCGTCCAGCCAGAGCGAGAGCAGTTAAACGTGCGGCGTGAGGAGTGCATGAGACCGAGGCATCGCCGCGGGCGGGGGCTTTGCCCGGGGGGGCAGAGGAGGGCCCGGACAGGCCGCCGTGGGTGCTGCTTTCCTTCCTCCTCCGGGGCTGGCAGCAGAGGACCAATCACTTCCCGTAGAACTTCTTGTTGAGGAGGAAGATCAGGAGGTTGACATTTACTTTAGCTCTGTCAAACAGCTTCATGACTGCGACGCCTTCATACTGTAGCTGCAGCAGGTCCTGTTCAAAAACAACATCGGGACAGTCACGGCTGCGGAACACGCAGAGAGGCCGCGGTGTGGGGAGGGCTCCGGGGAGGGAGGCCCGGCCTTCGCGCCAGCCGAGAGGTGGGGCGAGAGCACAGTGGCCGGGGCGACGGGGCACGACGGCCGATGGAATCTGGTTGATTGATTCAGAGTCAGGAAGTCATGTTGTTCACATCAAAATACACAAAACATGCAATCCTAGCTCTCTGGGAGGCTGAGGCGGGTGGATCGTTTGAGCTCAGGAGTTCGAAACCAACCTGAGCAAGTGTGAGACCCCGTCTCTACTATAAATAGAAAGAAATTAATTGGCCAACTAATATATATATATAGAAAAAAATAGCCGGGCATGGTGGCGCATGTCTGTAGTCCCAGCTACTCAGGAGGCTGAGGCAGGAGGATCGCTTGAGCCCAGGAGTTTGAGGTTGCTGTGAGCTAGGCTGACGCCACGGCACTCACTCTAGCCTGGGCAATGCAGTGAGACTGTCTCAAAAAAAAACCAACAAAAAAAACCAAAACAGGGACAATAAAACGAGGCATGCTCAGGTGTCACACACACCTAAGCTTTCTATTTCAGAAGTTACAAAGACATTTTCCCATCACATCTACGTTATGGGTCACCGATTTTAATAAATCGGGAAAAGGTGAAGGCATTTCAACCTGAGGTGACATACACTAGCCATTAAACATGACACAGGGCTAGTAATGTTGTCTCAGTAATATCCACTAGATCCCTAATCTCTGTTTCACTTGAGAAAGTTTTTCTAGCCTGCAGGCAAGGGCAAAAGAGGACTTCACGTTTATTAGGTGGCTGCCACGGGCCTGGCGACACAGGCTGGTATCTGGATGGCATCTTGTTCAGCCCACACAGAAACCCTGCGCGGTGTGGTCTTCGAGTTTAGGGACGAGCTACCGCGGCTCAGAGCCGGCAGATGACTTGCCCCGCGGAGCAGAGTCGGCGCCCTGAGCCCAGGCCCGACTGTGGGGCGCCTGCCCTACCCTCGACCCTCCACTGTCCGGGACAAGTCCAACGACTCCGTGGCCTCACCCCTGAACCTGAGAAGAGCAGTGAAGGAGAAAGCAAGAGTAAGGGGCTCCAGGGGGCCCCGAAAGTCCAATCAATTCATCTTCTGGAAAAGTCCTGGCAGCTCCATCGAGAGCTGGGACATGTCACCTGTGCCCAACCTAACAGCACACACCCGGCGGCCGCTCCACGTGTCATGAATTTGTACACGCACGAACACGCTGCCTCGGGCAGACCGGCCTAACGGAACGGGGCGAAGCTGAGGAAATGAGAGCGTCGTTTCTGCGCATGAAGCGCTTTGGCTACGTGCGCCACAAACCATTTCGCGTCGTGCAGCTCCTGTGTTTCACAGGCCTGCCGGTGGCTGCGAGGGACACGGCAGCACCGAGAAGCACGACTGCGCCTGAGGAGCCGTGCGTGCCAGGGGGTGGCAGGGAAGAGAGCTAACTAACACCTGCTGCACACAGAGGACGCCTCCAAGGCCACAGAAGCAGGGACCGTCTATCCCGGCGTGGCTGGGGGAGGCTTTCGGAGGTGACACACACGCCAGCGCTCGACAAGTGACGGGGCGACACGTGGCGGGGAGCGGGAGGGCGGGCGGCATGAGGAGCCGGGACGCAGGGGCGCAGGAAGGCACCCACGTGGCGTGACCGCGTGGCGTGACGCAGTGCGAGGAGGCGAGAGCAGGCGCCCGGTGCCACCAGGCCGAAGGCGTCTGGACGCTACCTGGGAATCCGCTCGATGCCCCGATGTTTTTTAATGTGCAAAAAATCTCAAAATAAAAATTAGGGATCTTGGGAAAGCCTCTAACCAATGCTCACACACTACTGAACATAAAATAATTTCTAATACAAAGGAACATGACAAATTGAAAAAAAATTAGGGATCTTTATGCTACAAAAGGAATCACAGGAGAGTTCTTTTCGAATTTAAGACACAATTTAGTTTACAAAAAAATTTACATACACCTTTGTCAGAAGTGCATCTTTAAGTACCTATAATGCACCTACAGGAAACTGAAATGAGAAGAAACATTTCAAGCTACTAAGTAGGCTCACAATCGTGTACTGTCAACACCTGTCCTTAGGAATTCTGTTCAAGTCCAAGGAATCGCTCATTTCAGGTGCAAAGCTAGGCGGAAGCTTCAGACAAATGCTTTCTGGAAACGTACTCGTCTGCCAGAGCTCTCTAGAGCCACAGAGCAGATCCGATGCAGGAATCCTCAGCCCTGACCGCCACCCCCCCCCAAGCCGCACTCGTGCCGACCATGGACAGCCTTCCCCGAGTGGGTCACCTTTCTACCTGTTCCTCCCACCAGGACAAGAGCCCTACCCAGAAAGCTGCAGGTCCCACCTGGTGCAACCCACCTGGTAATGTAACATAAAGGTCTCCATTTGAACTCCCATGAATTTGGCTTTCACTTCAAAGTCTCCAACTTCTTCTGTTGGACTGATTTCGAAGATAACATTTTTAAACCTGTTGAAACAAAACATCACAAGAGTGTGGTTTCTATGTGCGCATATAAAAATTCTGAGAAGTGGGGAAAGGAGATGAACCAAGTAAGTCTAAGGGTGAAAAGGGGCAGAAACCGTAGGTCTGAGGCATTCTGCAGGGAGACGGCACG